GAGTGTAGTAAAAGAGTTTTAGAAAACTGATTAAATTTTATGATGGAAGTACGTTCAGGGTGACGTGGAACCTGAGAGACTGTCCTCTCTAAATGGTGTTTAAGGTAGGCTGTTATCGCATCTCTGTGTGGACATTTCTGGTTATCCCAAACACAGATTCTAGTTTTAGATCTTACATCTTTCTTTGAGCTGAAGTCTGCCTCTCAGTAGTTAGTTGGCAGACCCCATGGCAAACTGTGAGTACTTGAACCACCTAAATGGGCACCCAGGTATGTCCATGCAGCCATGGAATACCAGAGTTGCCAGGTCTTCTAATATTTGAAGAGAAGCTGGAAGTTTTTATATGAAATCACCTGTTTTATTGTGTGACGAGCATGCACCAGGCACTGTGCTAGACACTGGGGATGTAGCCATGAATATGTCAGAGATCCTTTCCCCCGGAGAACTTGGTATCATTTCTGTCTGCCATCTTTCTCCAGGCTGAGTGCCCCCCATTTCCTCAAGCCTATCTCACTGAGACATCACTTAGAGACCCTTCCCCCAGCATCCTGGAGCTGTCCTGTGAAGGTGCTCTGGCGTTGAAGCAGCACCCTGAGGGGCTGCTGCCCCACATTGGATACCACCCACGTTCCCTTTCCCACTTGCACAGAGGACACCTCCCTCTTCCTTATCTGTACCTGGTAGGTTCGCCTCCTGCTAGAATTCTCTCACTTTTAATCTTCCTCTGTTTCTTCTCTCTTTCACCTGCTATGCTGTTCACTCTTCAGTAGCCAATGCTGTGTCTTCTCTTTGTATCTCTGGGCTCCACGTTATACCTGGCATCTAGCAGTTGCTCAATAAATATCTGTTGGAGTGAATTGAAATGAAAAATATTGACTTAGGTGGTTCCCTGACTGTCTATTGGTAGTTTGGTCTGTTTCGGTGACCAGGACATAGTAACTCTGAGCTTAGGATAGACTAATAGCCCTTGGACAGACCATGTGTAGAGTTTCAATCTGGATTGCGAATATCTTGTTCTCTTTTATGTCCAAATGTGGGTCTTTACTGTCACCCGTATTCTGTCGAATCCTGTTAGAATTAAGTAACAATTTCAAGCGTTTAAATTCTTTGTGAAACTCAGTCTCCCAGTACAGTAACTAACTCTCCTTCCCAGATACAGGCCTTCTGCAGGCTTGGTTAGCATACACTATAGATTCATTTAAGATTTTGGTAAAAATATTGGACAGCTCAGAGATATTATCAGAACCCTGTGACGTACCCTGGAGGTCTCCATCCGAGGAGACACTGATTTGTTATTCACCACTCTTTGTGTGTGCTCAAACCTGTCTTATTCTATCTTGTATGCAAGGAGATCATGAGAGATTCTGATAAATGTCTTTGTTAAAATAAAGATGTGATGCATCTATCACATCCCCTCTCCTATTAACCTGTGAGATTAGTCAGTTAACTCCCTTTTTGTGAACCCCTGTTGGCTCCCAGAATCAGATTCTTTTTCCAGTGCTCACAAATAGAATAAGTTCTAAAATTTTGTCATCATTTCATCTTAAGCTCACTTGTCTATAATTCGGAGAGTTCTTTCTCCATCTTTTAAACATTTAGAAAACTCTCCTAATTCTAGATTCTTGGTGATTTCTCAAAGCTTAGATTCACTAGTGTCAGGTACCACGTGAGAGGCCTTCACACTGCCACCTCATCACTGCAGTGGTTCCCCATTCAGCAATTAAAAAAATATATTTTGGCATCTACTTGAATTCACTTAAAACACCAAGCACTCTGTCCTAACCAATTTCCAGAAATAATCTATATGGATAACATCTGCATCTTTTCAGATATGATACATATGGACACAAAGGTGACTCATGCCTACTATTTTGTATCATTTTGGAAGGGGAAAGGAATGTATGTTAAGTACCTCATAAAAGTGTGGTAATATAGTAATACGGTCAGTCGTCTTCAGTGATGCTTTTTACTTTCCAAATGGTTGAATAACAAATAAATTAGAAAAATAATAGGTCTTTTGTTTTCTTTTTAGAAACAGTGCTATTATTTTTAATCCAGAGTTATGATCTAAAGTATAATATGTGCGGGAATAGTCAAATCCATAAGGGTTTTGGTTTATTAGGTGTCTTCCCTTCTCTTTATTGCTGTTTTTGTAATTAACACAGTGAGGTGCATCTTTTAGATTGACAGGGCCATTCCCATCTCTTCCTCTACTCACACACACAAGACTTCTTGTGGGAGTTTGCTCCCACACCAAGCAATTCTCCGACACCTGCTGGGTGTCCTAGAATTCGATTCAGTCCTGACACTCCCTACCTGGAGTTAGCATCAGATCCGCCCGGGTAAGGGCTTGGTTCTACACGATTGCCCTACTTCAGACACCAGTCGCAAGTACTGGGTCCCCAGGTTACCCCCATTTATGTCTGACCTGGCTACAAGTTGAGGGTTCCCAGAACCCCCTCCTCAGCTTTGATAATTTGCTGTAATGGCTCACAGAATTCAGAGAAACACTTATGTTTACCAGTTTATTACATAAAGAAGGGTATGATAAAGTGTACAGATAAACAGCCAGGTGAAGTGATGCACAGATTAAGGTCTGGAGGGTTCTGAGTGCAGGAGCTTCTGTCCCTGTGGAGTTGGGCTGCATCACTCTCTGGGCATGTTGATGTGTTCACCAACCTGAAATCTCTCCAAACCCCATAGTTCAGGGAATTTTATGGAAGCTTCATCACGTAGGCATGATCGATTATTAACTCAGCCTCCCTCACCTGTGCCCTCTCTGAGGATGGGGGTAGGGCTGAAAGTTCCAAGCTTATAATCCCACGTGATCTTTCTCGTGACCAGCCCCCATCCTGAAGTCATCCAGGAGCCGAGTAAAAGTCACCTCATTAGAACAAAAGACACTCCTATCTCCCAGGGAATCCAAGGGATTTAGGAGCTCTGTGTCAGGAACCAGGGCCAAAGACCAAGGATTAGAACAAAAGGTGCTCCCATTGCTCTTATCACTTAGGAAATTGCAAGGAATTTACGAGCCTAGTGCCAGGAACTTGGGGGCAGAGACCAAATATTAAAACAAAAGACGTTCCTAGCACGTGTATCACTTCGGAAATTACAAAGGTTTTAGGGCCTCTGACCAGGAGTTGGGATGAAGATCAAAATATATATTTCTTACTATATCACAATATCACATATATATGTATATATATTTTTTGAATACTTTTCTGGTTATTTCCTTACAGAAAATTCCTAGAAGTGGAATTTTTGGCCAAAAGTTGTATAATTTTTAAAGCCTTTGATACATGTCGACAACCTAGAGACCTTTCAGTTTGGGCACCCACCTACCACATGTGAGATTGCCTGTTTTCTCTCATTGAGATGGGTGTGAATGAATTTTAAATGAATGGCTTAGCTGGTCTGGAAAACTCAGCCTGATGAAGTGAGAAACAGTGTAAAATCAACCTCAGGGGGATGGGCTGTCAGGGAACTGCACCCCCGTTCCCCGAGGTTAGGGACTTGGTCTTGTCCTTCCTCAGCTATCCTGAGCTTTCTGATTTCCGGCAGCTCTATCGGCCTGTGGGCGTCCTCTTGTACTGAAATGGGAGGGATGCTGTTCTCCCTTCTTTAGCTGGACGTCCCCTAGATCACTGCCCTTTCCTCTTTCCTTCTGAATGAGGTATTTCACACCGGACTCCTAACTTAAGGATCTTGGGGGTGTGCGTAGACTCATGGGTCTGTCAACACAGCTGTCTGGGATCTTGCATTGGAGCCCTGGAGTTGGATCCCTCACAGCAATTCATTTTTCTAGGCTTAGTTAGGACCATGATTACTTCAGTGGGAATGAAAATTGAGTTGATTAAGTGACTATGACATTTAGATTCATATGTCCAAATAAAGCCTGAGATGTTTAAAATTCTGTAGGTTAAAGCTGTGTATGAATCAAGTCAAGTGTTTAGAATATGCATATGCCATCGCTAAAGTTGACTTTTAGATTCTTAATTGTTTTTGGCAAACAGGAGGTGTTTGTGTAGGAGAAGCAGATCAAGAGCATGAGAATAAAGTTGTGGTATTACTGTTTTGGTAAACTGGGCTGGAGTCTAGACAGCTATAGGCAGTACCACTTAGGGTGTGTATGCTCTCCCAAGAGAACCCTTCCCTATACAATTGTATCTTTTCTATAACCCTACAGACTCAGTTGGGGACATTCTGTCCTGTTTTTAAATTAAAGGCTACCTTCAGAAGTCTCTCTGTTGTGCATTTCTGTCTTAGGAAAGTGTTTTTTAAGATGTTGAACAATTCATTTCCCTTCTCTTTGTGGTTCTCTTTTTAGTTTCTTTGTCGTAATCCTAGAATTCAGATTCTGAGATCTATAGGAATTTATGTTAGAAAACATTTAATACAAATTCTGAAATGCTATGTTCTTTCTCATCCTTATAATTTCTGCTACAGCTGGTAATTGTGGATAGGTGCCCTGAAGATCCCTTGTGAAGTGGTAATTAACAATGATTCCTTGTGCGTAATCTGAAAATTTGGTTCCTGGTGTCACCGTGGGTGAGAGAACACAGTCATACCTGGTTTGTCTCAACCTTGACCACAGCCGCACTTTCCTGGTCTTTTTCTAATCTGTGGTGGCCATGGCTCTGACCCACAGCACTGTGGACTTGCCTCTAACACTCAGCTGCTTACGAAGAGGTGGCCATGGTACTGGGGGGTGTTTGCATCAGCCAGGGAGTGAGGGAAAAAGGGGTTGCATGCCTGTCTGCCTGCCTTCTCAGTGAGGCCACAGTTTTCTGAAGTAATATTGTATTGCATTTGCAGTGATTTCTGCAGATAGCAAAACTTTTAGATAGGAAAAGAATTATACTCAAATGTACAGAATCACCTGATATTGGGAATCATTTAAAAATAATTAATTGAATAACTTATCTTTTAAAATGATGGATTCCCTTTGCTTGTGCTTATGTTCTGTTTGTAGCTAATTCAGTTTTTGTTTGTTTTTACAGGCTAAACATCTTTTTGACTGGCATGAACCCATTCTACTTTCATGCAGTAAATATCATTTTACACTGCCTAGTGACCCTTGTGCTGATGTACACCTGTGACAAAACTGTCTTCAAGAATCGTGGACTTGCTTTCGTTACGGCATTGCTTTTTGCTGTGCATCCTGTTCACACAGAGGCGGTGAGTGTCATTGGAACTCAATGAAATAATGAAGCAAAAAAGTGATCCTTTTCCCCTTTCGAAACCATGTGAATTTAAAGCTCTACTAAAGTGTTTATCTTTATATATAAATCATTCTGCTGGACAACTTTTGTTTCTGAATGTTCAAATGGCCTTTACTGCACCTTCAGGACTTCACTGCTTTTCTAAATAACCACTGTTATTATTACAGGTGGTAATAAATGACCACAGTTCTTTATCTGCAGAAAACTTAAGTCCTAATGTGTTTTAAACAGCAAGGGGCATTTTGAGATACTTAACGCTGAGTCATTGTTCGTGTTCTAAAATTTTTTCTTTTTTTTTTTTTTTTTGGGCATCTTAACAGTATTCATTTTTCGAATCCATGAACAGATTATCTTTCCACTTATTTGTATCTTCTTAAATTTCCTTCACCAAAGTTTTATAGTATTCAGTGTACAGCTATTTCACTGCCTTGATTAAATTTATTTCTAAGTACTTTAATTTTTTTGATGCTATTGTAATGGGGATTGTTTTCTTAATTTCTATTTTGGATAATTTGTTCTTGGTATATAGAAACATAACTGAGTATTGTAATCGTAAATCCTGCAAACTTACTGAATTCATTTATTAGTTACAACAGTATTTTTGTGGAGTCTTTAGGGTTTTCTATGTATAATACTCTACAATTTTTTAACCTTTTCTCACTCTGCTTTATGTTTATAATATTCATGATGCAGAACTGTAAGTGCTAGGCGGGAGACTATAAAAAGCTGAACTAACATTCTTCAAGTTAGACACATTTAGGAGACTTACCATCAGTTTTCCAAGTTATTTAGTATGAATTGTAGTCATTTGGTGGATAATGAGAAATTTATTTAGAAAATATAGATAGTTTAGATCTGTGCTCTTATTTAAAATATGGACTTAATCATGCACCAAGATGGCGTCATCCAGCTAACCTCGTTTCACATCTCAATAACCACGGTTGGTTTATTTCATGTGTATTGCTACGGGTGGTTGAAGACTTTCCAAGGGTATGTGGGTACCACAGTTTTAAAAGAATTGTTTCCAGAGGCTCAGATTGCATCCGGACACTTTCCTACAGTTCACATCTGGGTCTGAGTGCACACCTGGGGGAAAGGTGTCAAATTGATTCTCCTCTCCCTGTTCCCCTTTCAATTGCCTTTTTCTTATTTAAAGAAAAATAAGGAATGTCTTGCATACATTTACTATGCCCCAGGGGTACAAACAGGCACCTTACAATGAAACAATTTGATATATTGGTGTCAGCCAAGTCTCCTCTAATTAAGGCATCATAAACCCAAAGTAGGGCTTCCTTTCTTTTTCTGTCTTTACATATTTCTGTGAGGAATGCAGCATAGCATTAGAAGTAGGCTGTGATGGCCTGTGAGATTCTGGTTGTCATGGGGATGTATAATATGTTCATTTGATCTGACACAAGAAGTCTGATTTGGCCAATTGGTTTAATAATGAGAAATGGTTAGGCCATATGATGGACGTTTGCCACAAACAAAATTCTAAATCTGTAAGCTCAAGGTTTTGACACAAGTGAGAGTGATAAAGAGCAAGTGATAAAGAAGAAAATTATTTTATAAAAAATTACTTTCTTAAGGGTACTTTTCCCAGCCCTTTCTGGGTATTTTGGACTGAACAAGGTACCTGTAAGTGGAAGACTATTAAGTATAAGTAATAGTCCTTTGCAATTAAGTATAAGTAATAGTCCTTTGCAAAGTCTCGGTCAAGCCTTTTTGCTGTACTTCTGAGAAACTGTGAAAGCAAACGAAACTAATAACAGGTAACTCTAATGATGGGTACACTTCATTTATTTGCTTTCAGCCAGATTAAAGGAGAACCTGATAGAATTGTCAGCTGGTAGATCATTAAGCATTATGCAAGATGATAGATCACTACGATTTTTCAAATAACTTGGGTGTTCAAAGAATTAAGTCACTGTATAACATGGCTACTTCTGTCCCCATTTATGTAAGCAGTGTTTAAATACAAAAGCTACAGATAGAACTGATGCCGCATGCTTTCTTATTCTAACAAAAAATAATATTCAGTCATAGATAACTGAATTTATTAAAAAGAAAGCTACAACTGTATTATTAAGAGGTGTATTTTTTATATTTAATAATTATCATTTTTTCTAACTTACGATGTATTTAATAATTGAAAATAATAGTAATTGGACTAATAACACAAAATTGAAAATTCAGCACTTAGGTGTTTTGATCACAGGAAATTAAAAAAATAAATTTAATTGCATATGTATTTTTACTACAGAGAGAGATAATAAATAGAATATTTAAAAATGTAACTATAACACATTAAGAAAAAATGCTGAGGGGGAAATAAAATGGAAATATGAGTTTAAGGGGAAAGGGTGTAAAATGTCTATCATTTAGAGAAGAGCCTGTTCATATTTGTGTAAGGGGAACATGGTGAGCTTCAAATTGCTGTGGAATGTTTCAGGTGCATTTGGTACATTTAAAGGAGTCACATTATGGCGTTGTTTTAAAATGTCAGTTTCCAAAATGCACAGGAAGTTAGAGCCTTTGAATTATTTAAAATTATGATGAAAAATTTTAGATGTGAATTTTAAAAGATGAGAGCAATGCATAAGTTTTCAATATGATTGTTAGATGAAGAGAAATAATCAAGGACCACTACTCCTAGCCGTATAGAATATATGACACCAGGTCAGTGGCAATGTTTTAATCTAAGCCCATCGACAATATTATGTTTCTGACAAATAATTTCATAAGTAGAGTTAAAAATTTGTGCTTAGAGTGTCTTGGAGAAAATTTTTGTAGGAAAGAACAAATGAGTAGAATAAGAACGGTCCTAATTCTGTGCTTGCAGAGAGGGAGAGCATAAAATGCAGGTAATCTCGGACAGTGTGATCATGAGCTAGCTGGAGTTCTAAGAAAAAAGGAAAATCCTGTTAGCAAAATGACCTGTAAGAAAGGGTTTCACAAATACCGTATGCTAACACATATATATGGAATCTAAAACAAAAATAATGGTTCTGAAGAACGTAGGGGCAGGACAGGAATAAAGACACAGACATAGAGAATGGACTTGAGGACGTGGGGAGGGGGAAGGGGAAACCGGGACGAAGTGAGAGAGTGGCATGGACATATATACACTACCAAATGTAAAATAGATAGTTAGTGGGAAGCAGCTGCATCACACAGAGAGATCAGCTCGGTGCTGTGTGTCCACCTAGAGGGGTGGGATAGGGAGGGTGGGAAGGAGATGCAAGAGGGAAGGGATATGGGGATATATGTATATGTATAGCTGATTCACTTTGTTATACAGCAGAAACTAACACACCATTGTAAAGCAGTTATGCTCCAATAAAGATGTTAAAAAAAAAAAAAGGTTTCAAGCAGCTTTTGTACTAATCGGAAAAAAAAAAATCCATGGTAACACAATTATGGGGACAAAGGAGACTGAGAGCTAGACATTTATTTGGGGAAAAATCTTAAAGAAACTATTTGCATTCACAAGGAGATGGGGGAGGCATAAGAAGGCAAAGAAATTTGACCTATATAATAAACTGTACTGGAAAGTAAAATCAAGAGACTGTTATTTAATTATAGATATTAGCTCAGGTTTCTAGAAAGGAGGGCAGAGAAATAGAGAAAAAGAAATGTGTGTTATGAAAACATAGTGAAACATTATTTGAGAAAAAGAAAAACAGACCATAGTGTGATGAAAGAGGAAGTTAGTAGGATGTGTCTCCTCTTTGTTAAACAAGAACAAAATGAGACCATAAATTACAGCAGGAAGGATGGGGGGCTTAAATTGGGGGCGGGAGGGTTTAGTGTAAACATGTTGATATGATTAAGGATTTGCTTTCTTAATTACGTAACCAACAAATTGTTAAACGAGTGCTTGCTTAGTGCAGGCCCTCTGCTAGGTGCCAAGGAGGTATGTGGGTGGGCAGTGGGGTCCCTACCCACAGTTTGTTCATAAGCTCCTAGAAAAGCCAAAGAGCATACACATAAATACGTACAAGACAAAGCAATATGTTGTAATAAAACTGAAATTCCAGCGAAGGGAAAAATTATTTCCAGTTTAAGTAGAGAGGAATAAATTCATTTATTTATGTAATTTTTCAACAAATATTTGAGTGACTATAATACAATCAGTCAGTGCAGGGCTATAGCAGTGAATAAGGTAGACCTAGAGCTTTCCTCATTGAAGGCCTTGTGATTCTTGGGTTTCCTGACAGTATATTTCTTGGGAAATTTATGTTTTTCTGAATCCCGAATCATGAGAAAAATCAGTAGAGAAATTGGGAAAATTGGGAAATCATTTTAATTCTCCTATGAGAATTAAAACTTATCATCATAGAGACATTACTGTTTGAAGGAATGCACTTCTGTCCAGTCAAAAGCAAGAGCAGGAAATGCTGACACATGGAGTTGAAGGTTAGGGTTGACATGTCCACAGCTGGGACAAGAGTACTTAGGAGAAAATTGGTCATGATCTAATCAGCCAGTTTGGCTTTCAGCTGTTGCCATGTGTTAAGTGTGTGTTCCTGGCTCAGTCTGCTACCAATAGAACTCATTTTTCAGGTAAAATAATTAATAAATATAATATAATAGTGATAGTCCAAGAAATAACAAGTTTTGGGGGCAAATTAAGTCCTTACTTCGCAGTTTCCACATGTGATTCTGTGAAGCCTGCTAGGAGATCTGAATGTTACATTATTTGAATTCTACTCAATTATGTTCACTGATTTTTTTCAAATGTTTGAATATTTGTTAAAGGAATACAGTTCCCAGGTTACAGCTACCTGCTTGGTGATGGAAACCCGAAGCTTAAGGGAAGAAATACATGCTCTCCATCTCTTTGTACTTTTGACCAAGTCCTTTTGTACTTCCCAGCACCCTAGGTTCAGCCTGCATTGTCACGGGATCAAGCCCAAGGGGTGACAACTTGATGTTCCATCTTGCTTCCTGTTGCCCACTCCCACCCCCTTTTCATTTATTCCATGCTCTCATCACTTTAACCTCCCCTTCCAGGAACACCCAGTATGCTTTCAGGACTCTCTTTCCTCTGCCTGGAATGCTTCTGCATTCCCTCTCTGGCCCAAGATTCACATCCCCATCTTGAGTTTCCTGAAGTCCTCCTTGCTTGACCTTTAAGTCTCAGTGAATAAGGCCAGTCTTTCCACGAAGCCTTCCCGATCCTACAGTCCAAATTAATGCCTTCAGTCTTCTCATGGCAGTGATTTCTCCTCTTTACAATACATGCAGTTTCCTTGTAACCTCTTATACCCTCTTTGACTCCTCACCAGATGTTAACTGCTTGGGGCAGCTTTAATCCCTCCAGCTGGCATAATACCTGACAAATAGGAGGCACTTGTTAAATGTCTGTTGACCGGCGTGAAACATGCAATTACTGAACAAGATGATGTTGACGAATTGACTCACTGTGTGGCTAGTCCGGACAGATAGTAGTTGATGACAAGCACCTTGTTTTTAAGACACTAACCCCCTTGCCCCAGAGACCCCAGCTTAACAGGGATATAGAGTAGGTGTCCAGTGACTGCTTGGTGGTTTGGAGCTGGCAGCAGAGTCTCTCAGTGTTAGCACTGACATTTCAACACGCCCTCTGAGCTTCTGCTCCAAGGGACACTCCATTCTTCAAATCTGGGCGCGTCCAGCTGGCACACGCTGCTATTGCTGCTGCTGTTTCCCGGCAGAGCTAGCTGACTACAGTTTGAGAAGCAGGGCTTCAGGCGCCTTGAAGGCATTCGTTATGCTTGCCTAGCTTGTGATTGCCTCATTCCAGCTTGCCGCACCCAATATCAGCTTGCGAGTCCTGCTGTTGTCTGAGTTGGCCACAGCGGTAGTGCTGTGATGGGTGTCCCCCTGGGCCCAGACGCCTGGGCCTTATCCCAGGACTTTGTTGCTGGCGAGCTGGGCTCTCTGTTTAACCTCCCAGAGGCCTTGCTGGTGATGCCGAGCTCAGTGCTCAAAGGGGCGGTGCTGTAGCCTGAGCAGGCCTGGGCTTCACAAGTGAACCGTGTGCAGTTGTTGCTTTACGTACTGTGAGTGTGAGCTGGCCTTGACACCGAGGTGAAACCACACTGTCACTAATAGACATACTGGATTATCTAATAAAGTTAACATAAAATATCATACATTTAAACCTTAAAGTAAAAAGATGGTTTCCATACATCATGCAGAAAAACCCGTCTCACTGTTAAGAGTCTCACCCCCTTTCTCTGCAGGGAAAAGGAAGAAAGAAGGGCATCAAAATGAGTGGGCACTTTGTATATATCATCTTACTTATTACAACAGTAACGTGAGTTAGGGGGTGTAATACTCATTTTAAAGATAACAAAACCAAATCTCAGAACTTAAAGATAACAAAGTTGAATCTCCCTCAGTTGGTTAGAGGAGCCTGTATTCAAGCCTTGGATGGTCTAGCTCAGCGGTCCCCAACCTTTTTGGCACCAGAGACTGGTTTCGTGGAAGACAATTTTTCCACAGACCTGGGGTGGGGGATGGTTTCAGGATGATTCAAGCATATTACATTTACTGTGCACTTTATTTCTGTTGTTATTCTGTTGTGATATATAATAAAATAATTATGCAACTCACCATCATGCAGAATCAGTGGGAGCCCTGAGCTTTCAGTTGCTACTCACTGATAGGGTTTTGATATGAGTCTGCAAGCAGTTGATTTATTATGGTCTCTGCAGTCGAACCTCTCTGCTAATCTGTATTTGCAGCCACTCCCCAGCGCTAGCACCCCCTCAGATCATCAGGCTTTAGATTCTCATAAGGAGGGCACAACCTAGATCCCTCGCATGCGCAGTTCACAGTAGGGTTCGCGCTCCTATGAGAATCTAATGCCCCACTGACCTCCCTCAGATCATCAGGCTTTAGATTCTCATAAGGAGGGCACAACCTAGATCCCTCGCATGCGCAGTTCACAGTAGGGTTCGCGCTCCTATGAGAATCTAATGCCTCCACTGACCTGACAGGGAGCGGAGCTCAGGCAATAATGTGAGTGATGGAGAGCGGCTGTAAATACAGATGAAGCTTCGCTCATTCACCCGCCGCTCACCTCCTGCTGTGCGGCCCGGTTCCTAACAGGACACAGACCACTACCATCCGTGGCCTGGGGATTGGGGACCCCTGGTCTAGCTCCATGTGTGTGTCATTGCCTCTCCTTTATGACTGCAAAATTTGCTTATATAATGAAGATATTTATAGGTATATATCCCAGAAATCTATTTTCCACTATTAATTGTTGATTGATTCTCCAACACACCATGGGCTTCACGTCTTCTGTGATTTGGGTAAGGCTGTTTTCTGTGCCTGAATGTCAAGTCTGTTCATTTCCCTTGTGAATTCTTCCTCATATGTGACCTTTTCTTTGAAGCATTCTTTGAACCATACCCCATTTTTTTCCTTTACAGTTTTATTTCCTGGATTTCAAAAAATTAAGAGAAATGTACACGTTTTGAGTAGTGAAATAATACAAAGATTTATAAATAGCCATCTGTCCCCACCCTTCTTCCATTTCAGTCCCTTTCTGAAGTAACACAATACAAAAAATAATTTCAAGCTTAAAAAATGTAGTGACCATATACTCTTTATCCAGAGTCACCAATTTTTAACATTTTGCAGCATATGTTTTATCATCCTTCCACTCTTTCTCCTTCAATATATAAAAATATTACTTGCTTTCTGAAGCATTTGAGAGTAGGTTGCATAATTCATGCTCCTTTACACCTTAATAATTTCGTTGTATATTTTCTAAAACCAAGGCCATTAGTCACTGTTTCTCTTTAGCCTCCTTTAGTCTTAAGTTTTGAACAGTCACCAGTCTTCAGTGTCTTTCTATTATATTATTTATATCTTTAAATGTAACTTAAAATTTATGTTAGGGTTATATATAATATACAGTGTTATTAATATATTTGTCTTAATATTGTAATTGATAATGGTTTATCATTTATTGCTGTCCTTATTTATTATGATGTTCAAATTGTTGCATATTTGGTCATTGGGAGCCCATTGTTACTGGCTTCTGTGTCCTATTGACATGTGCCTGTCATTTTTTGAGCACTTACTTTCTGACATGAGAAGATGATCCAAGTGCTCTTGTATCTCCTGAGTCTCAACCCTGGAATCAGCTGCTTCTCCAAGGGGCCCATGTTCTTTTTAGTGGACAAATGGCCTGTGGTTAGTGCCAGGATGGCTCTTTGCTACTGGGGTATTTTGCTTTCAGACCCTTTTGGTGATGTTGCTAAGAAACACATAGACACATGCATGTACACTCACACATAGTGATGATGAGTTCATACTCCTTCCCATTCTTGTCTTATTTTTTCCCTAGTGCTCTGTAAGCATCCTCTGTTCCATTAGCACTCTGGTGCCCAAAGACTAGCACAGTGTCCAGAACTCAGTCATTGCTCAAAAAAATATTTTTGAAAAAAACCAGTAAATGAATATACTTTGATGCTGTGAATTGATCTTCAATAGAAGAAAGGTTAAAAATGAAGTTAAGCATGAAAACCTTGCCCCTTCCTTCCTCTTTTTCTCCTTCTTTAAAATCATTGTTAAATATAACTGGAAGTGGTTAGTCATATATCAGAATTTAAAGAATAATGTGTTTTCTAATTCATTATTCCTTTCATTCCTCTGAAAACAAATAACATTTCTGTAATGCGTTTCTGAAAGTGGTTTTCTGAGGTTTTTATTTTTTCACACTTTCTAGGTGGCCGGAATTGTTGGCAGAGCTGACGTGTTGGCATGCTTGCTGTTTCTGTTAGCCTTTCTCTCCTACAGTAGGTATGTATGGCTAAGAATGCCCTTATCTGTTTACAGTCATGCTGTCCCCTGGAAGTTTCTGCTGTGTGTGTGTGTGTGTGTGTGTGTGTGTGTGTGTGTGTGTGTGTTGACTCTGAGCTCCTGCCTGAGAGAGGAGGGAGGCTTCTTGGCAGTGAAATGCCCAGTGAGCTTCCTGGAGACCTGGGATAGGAAACCCTCTCCTTACCAAAAGCTAGGCTGTTCTCTCTTCCAGCTGCATTCTGAACCATGTCATAGCCTTTTAAAAGGACTGCTCTCCCAGTGCTGGGAAGATAAGCTCTTGATTCTTGATTTCTCTTACTTGTAGTTTCTTACTGAGAATGGAATTTGAAATCTTAGCTCTGAGCCAGAATATACTGGGTCTAGTCCTCTCTTCTATTTAACTATGATTTGTTTAATTTCTCCTTTTCATTTTGGTCCTACGTTTTGTTTTTTTTTGTTTTTCCTCTTTATTATCCTCATTAAAATAGCTCAAAGCTTAAAACAGCAAGGCTGAATTGAAAGTAGTATTTCTCAACTGTGATTTTCCAATTTGCACATCCTTTCATCAAAATACAGAAGCTTCTTGCTTTGGTAGACTGAAAAACAGTAAAACAATTTCCCATTATATTGCCCCTTTCCCCCTAACTTGGACAGATTCTCACCTGAGTCGTGACATATCCACATAGGGAAAGGGGTGGGTAAAAAATGAAGGTAGGGCTTCCCTGGTGGCGCAGCAGTTGAGAATCTGCCTGATAATGCAGGGGACATGGGTTCGAGCCCTGGTCTGGGAGGATCCCACATGCCGCGGAGCAACTGGGCCTGTGAGCCATAACTACTGAGCCTGCGCTCCGCAACAAGATAGGCTATGATAGTGAGAGGCCGCACACTGCGATGAAGAGTGGTCCCCGCTTGCCACAACTAGAGAAAGCCCTCGCACAGAAACAAAGACCCAACACAGCAAAAATAAATAAATTAATTAATAAAATCCCTGCTTCCATTTCCCACCTCACATCACTGTAGTCATTGTTTATTAAAAAAAGAAAAAAAAATGAATGTAATGGGGGCAGGTGACTCAGAGGGTGGCCCAGGAGAAAGGGGGCCAGTGAACCACATTGCCCTGCTTCCTGGAGGGATGCCTGGTTAAGGATTTGTGAACCTTGATCTTTGGGTCAGTTCATTGGCCTATAATCTTATAAAACCCAGTGACTCCAAGGAACACTGTTCTAAAACAGTGGTTCTCAGTAGGGGGCAAATTTGCCCACCTTGCCCCAGGGGGACATTTGCAATATCTGGAGATACTTTTGCTTGTCATAACTGGAGAGGCACAGATGGCAAGGATTCTAGAGTGGCGGGACAGCCCTTGTAACAAAGAATCATCTTCCCTAAAATACCAGTAGTGCTGAAACTGAGAAACCTTGTTGTAAATCAGTTTAGACCTTGGGTCAAAGATGGACTGAATTAAGCTTTATGAAGTTTTGCTTTAAGACCAGAGTCTCTTAATATAGTACCAGGCTTCTAGTCCTGGCTTTGTAATCTCCCACTGTATTGCTAGGTATATAAAAGAGTGTTGTGAAAATATTAAAAATATAAACCCAAATTCAACAGTTGTTTCCTATTTGCTCTGGTGTTAGAACAAGATTAATAATCACTTTTGAATTTGAACTTGATCTCTCAGGCTTCTTCTCTGTGTTGATAAATTTGGGAACATGAGTAGGCCCGCAGCATATCCATATCTGTGTGGTAATAAGCCACACTGTTACAGCTTTCAGTTGTGCAGGCCATTCGCACTTTGAGTAATTTTAAGCTATAAACCAGCTTCAGAGAAAAAACCTGTCTCCTACAAATTTGGCATATAATTTAGGTGATTGTTCTAAGACATAACAATAAGGGTAAGATGTCACCACTTCAGATATATTGGCCTTCAAAAGAGTAGGAGCAAATTGGTGTGCCACCTGCAGAAGGAACAGTGGAATTTCTTGGTGTGGTGCTGACTCTGTTTTGTAAGGTGAAAAAAGACTTTACAGTAAGTAGCTGGAGGGTTTTAGAAAATCCCTGCTGGAAATTATGCTGAGAAAAAAAAAAGCTTTACCTAATACATTCTCGTGAAAAATAAATTTAAAACTACAGTTTAGAAACTAATACAACATTGTAAATCAGCTGTACCTCAATAAAAAAAAAAAAAAACAGATTAGCCAGAAGAAAAGAAAAAGACTAAAACGTATATTTTCATCACAGAAATGATGATTGTGTTTGGTATATATCCACTGATTTCTTTGTACAGAAGCATATAAAATACCTTCACAAAAATAATAATAATGATAAACACTTAACATGTAAGTCATTTACTGAATCTTCCCTACAACACTGTGATCCCATTTCACACATGAGGGAACTGAGGCACAGGGAGGCAACTGACCTGCCCCATGTTACCATGTTAGTTAACAGCAGAACTGTGATTTGAACCCAGGGAACCTGGCTCCAGAGTTCATGCATGTGGCTTAGTAACCTGTAGTATTCACTTAAAGTATATTCACCTAAACATCTTTCCATGTCACTAAATACATCTCTATGGTAGCATTTTAAATGGCTTTTTAGTGTTCCTTTGTTATATGCCATAATTTACCAGAATTTATATATGCCGTAATTTAAGTACCAAATTCAGCATTGTTGGACATTTACTTTTTTCCATCTTTGCAAATTTTAAATAACACTGTAATGAACATTCTTGAAGAAATCTTTGCTTACCTACTTACTTAGAATACAACGAAATTGGTGCTAGATCTTATCTTTAAAAGGTGGTTATTTCTTAGCGACCCACATTTCTTCTTAGAGTAAAAGCAACTCAACCTTGTTTTTCAGGAGTGTGGACCAGTGTTGTGTTGGGGAATGTTTCCCTCCCACAGCTTCTCCCTTCTTCCTGCTACTCAGTCTGTTTCTGGGGACCTGCGCGATGCTGGTGAAAGAGACAGGCATCACGGTGTTCGGCGTGTGCTTGGTCTATGATCTCTTTTCTTTATCCCACAATCATGATAAATCGTAAGTCATTTTAAAGTTTTGCTGTCAAGCAGTCCATGATGTGCAGAGAAGAGTTGCTGAAATCAATAGTTCTCAAACTCTCATTAAAAAAATAGAGGTATAACATTTTGTTAAATGTAACCTCCTCTTAGATTATCATATAGTAAGGCTTATTTCCTTAGGATAAATGCATTATATATGTTTAAACTCTTCACACTTTTATGAAAATCCATGAGGACTATAAAGTTTTTGTGAGCCCCAAATTTGGAATTGAAAAGTATCAATGCTAATTGCAAGTTTATATTTCCAGATTGTTTTGGTTGCATACTACTGAGAAATCTTGATTCACACAGTGGAGTAGTTACAAACGGCAACAGTCTGTTAACAGCTTGACTTGAATCTCTGCCTTCAAATGCTAAATTAGAGTCGTTTACTTGCTCTAGGGATGATGCTTTTACCTAAGAGTTTTGGAAGGGGCCTTTTGGAATTCCACAGAGGGCCAGTCTAAACCATACAGGAATAATTACACGTCATATTCAAGTTAAAGGACAAGTTTATTTAATAGCCTATTTTCATTTAAAAAACTTAAGGTACATTCATATTATCCTGTGGATTATAGATGATAAGAGTGACTAAGGCATATTAAAAGTTCAAGTACATACTATAATTTTCTTCCTCTATCAAATCCATAATTACTAACAATTTGACATGCAGACACTATTTTTCACTAATTACAAGGCCCTTACATTTGAACTTTTAACAAATGTAACTGATTTATTCTCCGGCCTTGTCCGATGAAGAATTTTATCTTAAAAAAAAAATCCTGTCTTTTTAGCTCATTCCCTACCTCTTTATGCTTCTTGACATAAAGATAAGAGCAGTGCTAGTGAGTGGCAACAAGCTGAGATGAGTCATTAAATTCTGATCACCTTCTTGCCTGGGCGTACTTGGAGATAATTTAAATAGATTTTAGTGCTCTGTTGGCTCTCTGTAAATCTCAGAAGCATGTAAAAGGAAGGAGCCCAGTTATCATTTTGATCCAAGCTCAAGCCAAGAAAGCTGTGAGCCAAAGCACCTCCCCTAGGCTTATATGAGAATGCCTTTCGTCTGTATCCTCTCCACCCGTGGCAGTAATTGCATTGCTGACCTTACTATTTAGAGGGCAGCCTATCCACCCCTCTGGCTTTCCACTTTCTTCTGGCATCCTCTTTGTATCTTCCTCCCATCATCTTTCTGCTTCGCTCTACTGACAACAGAAGATGTGGCAAGTGCCTGCAGACCCTGGCCTTTGATTCAGTCCAGAGATATTTTAACCTCATATCGACTGAAATAAAACACACAACTTGTGGGTTGAGAATTATGTTTTATTTGGGGACATTGCTAAGGACTACAGCCTGGGAAGGCAGCCTCTCAGATAGCTCTGAGGGACTCTCCAAAGAGGTAAGGGAGGAGCCGGGATGTATGAGTTTTTGCTGAAGAAAAAATAAAAAACAACTATATAGTCGAAACTCAAAAGATTAATGCTAATCACAAAAAATCAGGCATCTCAAGTTAATGATTTCAGTGCTTTTCTATATATGGGAAGATGCAAGAGTCTGGGCTCATTAAAATTGTTCCTTTGATATGCATCTTAACTCTCTAGGGTCAGTATCCTATTTTTCTCCATCCTGAATTCCCCTCAGGGTGCACCTTCCAGGCTGGCTGCAGTGGCTGATAATATGATAGCAGGCAGCATTCTTGTTTAGCTCATCTTTGAAGTCATATCTCCTCGGGTTTGAGGTCTCTCCAGCCCACTCCTTTTTTCTTCATCTGGTCACTGTTGAGCTAGGCTTTTTTCAAAGAGAATAATTGTCTTTTTTATTCCTTTAGTAATTGTTCTTGACCTTCATTATACCAAACTGCCAGTTCTATTCTATGAAAGAAACAATACTGCTCATATGTAGCTTGGATGTTGCATAGCTCATAGTTGGTGGGGTTTCTTTGTTTGTTTTAGTAACTTTTAGCTCTCACAACCACCAGCATCTCTGCATAGGTGGAGGCATTCATTCTTTCCGCCCACTTAACACATTCTCATTTTGTGCCTGGCCGAGAATAAGACAGTTAAGATTCCTTCCCTCAGAGAGCAATACTGGGGGAGACAGACATTACATAAGTAGTTACGCGAGTAACTGAGTACAGTTGTGAAAGTGGTGAGAAGGAACTGAGAGCAGGTAACAGGGAGACTCTCTTGAGTGCAGGCCGTGTGCCAAGCACTGGGCCGCGCCACTTACAGGTATGAAGTCACTGATTGCTCACAACAACTTTTACCCTCATTTTACAGAGGAGAGAATTCAGGCAGGCATAGAAAGTAACCTCTCCAGGGTCACCCGTCCCCTATTGTGACTTCTGTCTGTGTGACTCCAGAGCCACAGTGTTACCCCTGAGCCTCCATGGAGCACACAGGACAGGGATTTGGAGACCCCCCGGGGCATCTGCAGCTCAGAGCCTGGGCTCACATTTGTACCAGGAGACCAGCTCAGAGGATCTGTGTGTATTGGGGGGTCCTGACCCCTTTGAGAATCTCACAGAATCATGTCCCCTTTTCCCGGAATAACGTACACACAAATTCTTATCTGCTCATTTAGAATAAACATCTCGGTACTAGGTTGTTCTTGAGGTCTTTTCATTGTATGATTCAGGAAACAGGAAAGAAACAACAGAAACAAGTGTTGGAAGCCCTCTCCTACATGAAGAGCAATTTATTCCTAAATTTTAAGATTGGGCCACACGAACAGAGTTAGATTTCTTTTATGAGACATCGCCTTTAGGAAGAAACATTTTCAGTGAAAGAGCAGCTCCTGAAAGTTAAATTTTTTTCTTTTTAAAAAATTAGCGTATAATTGCCAACACGCAGAGGATAACGTTCCCTGACCCCAGTCCCTACCCTCTCTCTAGAAATAACCATGATCCTGAATTTGGCATTTTTCATTTCTAGGGCGGTTTGCTTGTTATTACTTCATAAGTATATACCACTGAATATCAAATAGCATTGTTTACATACTTGCAGACTTTATATAAATGGTGTCTCTTGCTTTTCTTTTCATTTAACATTGGATTTTGAGATCCATCAATGTGGATACATATGGCTATAGTACATTCATTTTAACTGTTGTGTAGTATTTAATTATCACAATTTATCCCTCCTTCTGGATTTTGAATTTAGGTTATTTTTACATTTTTGGCTATTATATAGCATGCTGCAGGTAACCTTTGTGTGCACGTACCTCCTGGGGCATAATGACAGAAGTGTTGCTGGGGCCACAGATGGATACACGTTCACTGTGTTGATCTCACTGTGAACTGTGATTTCACTTGTTCACTGTGAGCAAGAGACATTGCTTTTGAAATGACTGGAGTGCAGCAGTGGATGAGAATCCCCTTTGTTCCACATTCTCCCCATCACTTGGTAGTATCAGACTTTAAAATTTTTGCCCAGCTGGTGGTTATGAATTATATCATCTCAGAAGATTCATGAAGGAAAATGTGAGAATACATTGGGGTGGATCAGCTGTGATAAACATTTCACAAGATCATAATAATGTAAATCCCGAATATCACTTCAACTGAGTTAGGAGAATTCAAATTATATTTATTATGAGAGAAATATATGTGGAAGATGAGAAGAGAAGAGGGTGGTTGTGAATGTGTCTGCGTGTGTGTGTGTGTGTGTGTGTGTGTGTGTATTGGTGACCACATAAAAGGGACTGAGTCCTCATCTTCTATGGTAGCAAGTCAATAAGACAAGTTCTAAAATTAGAAATAATATTATAATTTAATCTTATTTTTAAAATATCGTGATGAATACCAGAAACAGAAGAGCTAAAAGGCTTGTGGACAGTTGCTTCCAGGGAACAGGGCTTGGCGATGGGACAAGGGATTGCTGTTCCTTGTTGCAGGTCTTGTCATTCTGTCTGACTTTGTTTCCCCTCCATTCCGTGCACAATTAGGAGCAATGGGGTCGTCCATCAGCGCAGCCCACAGCGGCCCGGGAGCTCCCTGCCCATCGCACCGCCAGCGCACCCTCTCCGGGAGAACGGGAAGCAGCAGCGGTTCCCTCACAAAGGAGCTTGGGGTGGCTGCCATACTCCACTGCCACCTGAACCCAAGAGCAGTGGATTCCCTGTGTCTCCTCGAGCTGTGTGGTCCTTGATGAGGTACTGGGCTGTGCTCCTTGACCTTGCGTGTTTTCACCATCCAGCATCACCTGTTGCAGGGGGATCGCTAGAGAAGTGAAGCACCGAGTGGGTTCTTTGTGACACCCGCCCACACTTGTTTCCCTCCTTCTTTCTTTTTCCTTCCCCATTTCCCTTCCTCCTGCCTCCTTCCTTCTCTTCTTCTTTCCATTCCTTCCTTATATTAGATCAGCTGAGAAAGGAGTAGCTGGAAGAAGGAAGTAGAAGCCCTGCTGTCTGCTGTTATTTGGAAGGAGGGGGTGAGGCTCTGAAGCCTCCATTAAGAAGTGCAGACATATTGCTGCTTCCCTGATGGAAGAGCCCTGGGCTTCTGAGAGAGGCCCCCCGGTTTTCTGGGGAGGAGAGCTCTACCTTCTGCTGCTCTGTCTCTCCCTGCCCTTGATGTGTGATAGGAATTTGTTACAGCACGAGTGTGGGAGGAAGCCCAGGGGACACTGCTTCTCAGAAATGTTTTTGAGGGTACAGGAAAATCTTTTTTTTTTTTTTTTAAACATCTTTATTTGAGGATAATTGCTTTACAATGGTGTGTTAGTTTCTGCTTTATAACAAAGTGAATCAGCCATACATATACATATATCCCCATATCCCCTCCCTCTTGCGCCTCCCTCCCACCCTCCCTATCCCACCCCTCTAGGTGGTCACAAAGCACCGAGCTGATCTCCCAGGGTACAGGAAAAACTTTAAAGCACAGGATTTTCTCTCTTTTTTTGAATCTTTTGACCGAGCCATGAAAATTAACATAGATTTATCAGAACTCATTAAATTAGCTTGCCTCTAAAATAGCTCAAGCCATGGGCAAGTCAGAATTTAATAAAGATGGAAATTTGACTCATACGATTAGCGGTTAAACAGCAGATTGCTATTCTTATTCTTCTGTGCAGTCCCAGAAAACTCCCTCTTTTCTGGGTCTTTGTTTCCAATTATTCCCGTGGAAACCTGTCTTTTGGATCGTGCTCCATTTATTCATTCATCAACAAAGATCTATTGAGTGTCTGCCACGTGCCTGGCATGTTCCAGGCACCCGGGATGTCCTGGTGAATAAGGAAGACAGCGTCCTTGCCCCTGTGTAGCTTCCCTTCCCGTAGAGGAGGACACACACTATATAACCAACAAAGAATGAACAGTGTGGTGGAGAGTGGTGGGTGGGCCTGGCTGGAGCAACTGCATGTTGGTTGGTCAGGAAAGGCCCACAGAATCCTCATGGATGAGTGGAGGAGCTAGCCCTGCTCAGATCTGGACACAGGGTTCCAAACCTGGGGAAACGAGCAACTGGTGTTTGGAAGGGGCGAGCTCAGGGGGTGGGCAGGCCCAGATGGGGAAGGGTGTGTTGGCCGTGGAAGTGAGTTTGGATTTTATTCTGAGTGGAAAAGGGAGACGTTGGAGGGTTCTGTTTGTTATTGTTGTTGTTTTTTGTTTAATGTGGAGGAAAATGGTTATATTAAGAATGTTCACTCTGGCTTCTTGTAGTAGAGGATTCAGGGGCAAGAGTAAAGCAGGGAGACTTTCATACATACTGAGGGGAAAAGAAAGGGCCTTGGCCGAGGCTGAGAGAGACTGAGGTGGACGGATATGGTGGATTTGGGATAAGTTTGTTTGTTTGTTTGTTTGTTTGTTTTTTGCTGTACGCGGGCCTCTCACTGTTGTGGCCTCTCCCGTTGAGGAGCACAGGCTCCGGACGCGCAGGCTCAGCGGCCGTGGCTCACGGGCCCAGCCGCTCCGCGGCATGTGGGATCTTCCCGGACCGGGGCACGAACCCGTGTCCCCTGCATCGGCAGGCGGACTCTCAACCACTGCACCACCAGGGAAGCCCTGGGATAAGTTTTGGATATACATCTAACAGGACTTGCTCATGTGTGGGGTGAAGGGGTGAGGGAAAGGCAGGAAACAAGGCTGTTTGTGTTTCTGGCTTCAATAGTTGAGTGCGTGGTGGTGTCAGTTACTGAGATGGAAAGGCTAGAGGAAAAATAAGTTTGGGAAAGGATAAAATCACAGTAATGCTTGAAATTCCTGAGCAAGAAAGCAGAGAGGTAAATAGTCAAAACCCTGAGGATGTCTTGACTTTTTCCATAACACGGCATGAAGGAAAAGAAGACAGAATATTTGGGGGAATTGTAAATTTTTTTAAGGAAGGCAGAGGAGGAGAAATAATTGCGCATTTTAGACTTTCAAGGACATAGTTCAGGCTGCAGTGTGACTGAGTTCCATCAGGGCAGGGACCATGTCGGCTTCTGATCACATTTGTATCCCCAGTTCTTTTCATAGTGTCTGGCTAAGAGTAGTTGCTCAAATATTTGTGAAATGAATAAATTAATGAGTAGGTGGTAAGAAAGTATTGGAATTAAGCATAAATAGAATATTTTCAGTAAATTTGGTAAAGAAGGAATGGGGCAAAGGATGTTAACTCCAGGGCTGTTAGGTTTTTGTTTTCATTTTTATTTTAAATTTAATGGGTGTGTGTATGTAGGTAGATAACTTGTAGAGAGTAGAGATGGAAGGTGCAGGAGCAGAAAGGAATAAGATGAAGTATGAATACCAGTGGTGCACTGGTAAATGCTTAATAACTGGCTCTCCAGAGAAAGTAAATCCTGATTGGTGTTGGCCAATTTCCATGTAAATACTCTTACCATGGCTGATTTGAAGCTACAAATGTGACATTGCTGAACATGGAGTTGGGAGAGGTGTGCCATAGCTCACCATCACGAAGCGTTTCCACTGCTCAATGGACAATAGACGTAGTAACCTCAAGAGCATAGATAACAGTTAAATGAAGGAAACGAATTAGGAAGTGATGAGCCTTGAGTACTTATTACCTTTGCTTTTAGCATGATTTAAGTTTATAGAATTATTTTAAGATATATATTATATATTAATACATACAATATATTTACATACATATGATTTATTATAGTTATATAATTTAATTTTCAATAATAGCTGTATTTAATAACTGGCCTGCAAAATTTCTGAAAATTTAATAGTCATCTCTAGCAAGCCAGTGTGAGTCAGCTCCAGCACTCCAGTGAAGAAGGTCTTTCAGGAGGGGAAGAAAACTTTACATCTGTGATCCATCCGCTACGTACCAGGAGGTGGGCTGGCATTTTCCACGTGTTATCCCATGCAGCCATCACAACTTTCGTTTAGGGTAAATCTTAGAGTTTGCATTATCAGGTGGATATGGAAGAAGTTAAATGGTCATTTAAAACATTTGCATAGGGGCTTCCCTGGTGGCGCAGTGGTTGAGAGTCCGCCTGCTGAAGCAGGGGACACGGCTTCGTGCCCCGGTCCGGGAAGATCCCACATGCCGCGGAGCGGCTGGGCCCGTGAGCCATGGCCGCTGAGCCTGCGCGTCCGGAGCCTGTGCTCCGCGGCGGGAGAGGCCACAACAGTGAGAGGCCTGTGTACCACAAAAATTTAAAGAAAAACATTTGCATAGTTAGTAAGTGGTAACATCAGGATGGGAACTCAGGCTGTTTGACCCCTAATCCTTTGCTTTTGCCTGTTTGTTATGCTCTGAACTCCAGGTTCCTGGGTGAGGACTTGGCTTTGAGAAGGAGGCGGGACACTTGTTTCATGCTCTGTGGAGCTGGCCTCCTTGTTGAACTCTCGTGGGTAGAAGATTCTTGCAGCCATCCTTGGGTCAACAAATGAGGCACCTTCTGACTTATTTCGATATAGGGTGTTGGTGCTAATACACTGAATTAAATGACATGCTTTTTTTTTTTTCTTAAACTCTGAACACCAGCCTGTTTTAGAAAGAATTATGCCTGGAGAGCAGTACGTAGGACAACTGGAACTGGGTCGGGGTCTTAGTAAGTTAACATGTTTGTGGGCAAGAAAGACCATTATCCTTTCTTGGAGAGGAAAGTTGTCATGTATTTTCCTTCTTTGGAAAGGAAAGGTGTCATATATTTGACTATAAATTTGATTAGTATCAAAATTATTTTTAAAAATGGTGTGTGTCCTTTTGTCAGAAGGTGATCAGGTAAAGAAAATAAAAGTTCAAAGAGACAATGTTATCTTAGTTCTGAAGATCTCTGCAGACAGTGTTTAAATCATGGCTCCTTCACTTACTTGATCCTAGACAAGTTATTTTATCTCTGTGAGCCTCAGTTTTCTCATCTCCAAAAGGCGGAACTAATTATGGCACCTTACTCTCAGATTGCTTGTCAGGTCTCAAAGCTATAGCCTGCATAATAAACATGTAAATAGGTGCCTGGTCCACAGTAGCCATTCAGTGTGGCAGCCCACAGCATCATTAGTAGTAGCTTAGAATTATGAATATTATTATTCCTGTGTGAGTTTCTAAACACCAGGATGTATCCTGAAACTGGTGAACCTGCAGTATGCAGGCAAGGGATGAGTTTGTGTGAGATTTTTTTTGCTTGAACTTTGAAACTGTTTGCTAATATGTATTTACATTGCATGCATGGCATTAGGCTGTCAAAAAATTGGACTAAATACTATCAGGTAAAACATTTTCTGTAGCTACCAAATACAGGAGAATTCCAAGATCCTACTGCAAGTCATTTATTTAGTTTCCTGTTTTTCTATGTGACTTAGTGATTGGCTTATGGGTAGTAAGTGCAATGAAGAACCTAGGACTTAGGGTATACACTCTGGAGTCAGATGAAATTTCAGTTGACACCACCTTTTACTCAGTTGTTCCATGTGCAATGAGAAATGTTTTGTATGTAAACCTTCCTTCTCCCTACCCTCTTCATTATATCCAGTTCAGTCACGCATGGACACATTTTCCCTTTCACCTTAGAAAACTCAGTGAATTCTACCTGAACTCTTATCCTGGTAACTCATACCTATATCTGTAACTATATGTAGTCATTTTTCATATATGGACTTGATTGATTTCACATTTAAATGACAGTGATTATGGTTGGTGTTGAAGACAGTTCTTGGCTCAATAAATTCTTGCTCTTTTCCTCTTCTCTTGCTCTGCAGCATCT